CATATTGATGGCTTCATCCCACCATCTTCTTCAACGTATTATTGGCTCCCTGCAGCAAGAAAATTCGCCATGACTAATCTTGGTAATCTTCATTACTTCTTTTTCTGCCAAGCGGTCCTCCTCAGGTCTGTTCCTCTCTCAAGCTAAATATACTGCTGAAATTTTGGACAAGGCAAATATGTCATCATGCAATCCTTGCCAAACTCCAATTGAGGTTCATTCAAGTTGTTCGCCCAAGATAGACCACGGTTGCCGATCCTACTCTATATCGTAGTCTTGTTGGGCGTTATAATACTTGACGCTCACACGGCGGACATTGCTCATGCCGTCTAACAAGTTTGCTTGTATATGCATGACCCCCGTGAGTCCCATTTTGCTCTCATCAAACTCATTCTGCGATATATCAAAGGCACCATGGAGTACGGTCTTACTCTCTCTTGCAGCCGGTCACATGATTTGATCATCTACTCGGATGCCGATTGGACAGGCTGCCCGGATACCCGCCGCTCTACTTCTGGGTATTGTGTGTTTCTTGGCGATAATCTTATATCATGGTCGTCCAAGCGCCAACACACTGTCTCAAGGTCCAGTGCCAAGGCCGAATACAGGGGTGTTGCCAATGCCGTGGATGAGGCTTGTTGGATTCCCCAACTCTTGGGCGAACTTCATCGTCCTTTTACCACGTGCTACTCTTGTCTATTGTGACAACATCAGGGCCGTGTATTTGTCAACAAACCCAGTTCATCACTAAAGGACCAACCACGTGGAAATCGATATCCATTTTGTCCAAGAGCGTGTGGCCCTTGGTATTTGTCTTGAGTTCTACATGTTCCTACATCCCTTCAGTATGCTGACATATTTACTAAGGGATTACCAATTGCTGTCTTCCTCAACTTTCGATCCAGTCTCAATGTTCGATCATCTCCTAGTTGAGACTGCGGAAGGGTATTAGAATATGAATAGCCTAGAATTTGTGTAGTCTAAAATGAAGAGTCTTAAGTAGTGGAAAAGTCTAGAACGAAGAGTCTTAGTAGTGGAAGAGTCATGTAAGTCCTTTTATAAACTCTGGATCAATGAATGGAACAATGGGAAGAATTCCACTTACAATTTGTTTAAGTTTAGTTTGATTTAAAATAATTTTTAACTTTAATCCCTTTTACGGGTTCGTGGGAGGGACAGAGGAGAGAATGCAGCGTTGTGAGCCTGTGAGGACTGCCGTGATAGTGGCAGTACAAGAGGTCAGCAGCAGCAGTGATGGCGGGAAGATTTCCTTCCTCTGGTCTATTCACTTGGCTAATAAAGCGCGTGGTGAAAATCTTATTAGCTGATCTATTGTGAAATAAAAAATCTTGTTGGTTGGTGAAAAAAATCGACTTATAAGCGAGCGTGGGCGAGCAGAGAATGTACGGGACCCTCGCGAAACCGGCCGAAGCCCAGGACGACGACATCGACATGGAAGCAGGAGCAGAACATGCAGTTGCAGGGCACTGTCGTTTTTATTTATTACTGCCCGCACCGCACGTCCGCACGCTATATATACAGCTTGCAGCAGCAGAGCCGTGTGCTGTGCTGCTGTGCTGGTCCGGCCGGCGGCCGGTGAACGGAGAGAGGAGCAGCCAATTTCTTTTTTTTAACTGCAATGCTGCCGTGAACCGTGGTAACGTTTTGTGTCCGTGCGAAGGGGAGGTCAATGACTCTCGACGTGGCGATGGCGATGGCCGATGGGAACGACATATCTGTCGCTCGCTCCCAAGGAGAATCCTAGGCTGCATTGCATTGCACGCACGCACACGCACTGGTGGTGGTTTGGTGGTGTCCTCATGGCGTGCGTCGCCGCCCATACGTCCGTGCTGGTGCAGGGCCTACCTACCCGTTTGACCTGGGAGCCCTGCATTGATCGCCTGGTTTCGTGGTGATGAAACCAAGCCAAACCAACAGAATCCCATGCCTGCCTGCACAGGGTGCAGAAACTGCAGGCATGCCCGGCTGCTCGTTCGTTACTGCTCCTCCTAGGAACAGGAGGTTACTTTTAGTCCTTGTTTAGTTCCACCCTAACTTTAAAAATTGTTACAGTACCTATCACATCGAATGTTTGCGGCCCGTGCATGGAGCATTAAATGTAGACGAAAAGAAAAATTAATTACACAGTTTGGTGGGAAATTACGAGACGAACGTTTTGAGCCTAAATAGTCCATGTTTGAACAATATTTGCCAAATAAAAACGAACGTGCTACAGTAGCCCCAAAATACAAATTCCTACAACTAAACACGGCGTTACTAGGGCTGGTTTGGTACCTTGATTAATTGTTAGTCTTAGTTTGAGGTCATCTAAAGAAGAGGAGTATTTTTTTTTATTTACATCCTAGGTAAGTATCCACTGGTTTTTTCAACAACTAATTCACTCATCGGCAAAGTAGACGATTCTCTAGGTGTGTGTAGTAGGGCTCCTTCCTAAGGGCTTCCCCAGAGGAGGAGACAAAAGCGGCTCCAGCTCCTCCTTTTTCATTAAAAAGCGACTCTAAACAACTTCGATAAACCGTTTGGTAGAGCTCCTTCAAGAGAACCGAAGCCGAAGAGGAGCCCTAACAAACGAGGCCTCTATGTATCTAATTAGCATCTAAATATATAGTGCTAATTTTTAGTAGTTTGGATTTAAACAGGTCCTTATATTGTTTTCACCTCTTGTGCGTTACAGATTCCCAAGTGTTAAGTTAGCAATTATTTTCCACCAGCAGCCCTATTTTTGTTTTTTGGTATGCTCTTATTTTTCTTAGAATTCGCTTTGTGTCTTATTGTCCATTTTATGCACTAGCCTCTATTTGTATAATTGTATTGATATTTTATTAGATTTATTAAAACGCTCTTTTGAGCGTCTTCATAAAAAAACAAAATAGAAATACCAAATGCTTTACATTACAGAAAATAAAATATGCTACAGACAGCACAAACATAGTTTTCCTCTTTCTTTTATTAAAAAAAAAGTATCTTTTTCCTTGTGCGAGCTGCGTAGGAAATTGTAGAGTCAGCTAGCCTTCACCCTGGCGCCCTGCCGATGATGTGCGCCAAATTTAGCAGCTCCAAAAATTTTATAGCTTATTCTTAAAAAAAAATTATAGCTTCTTGCACTTGCACCTCAAGCGAGCCTCTCCAAGCTCTCCCTGCCTCTGCACGCCACTGCATAGGAGTAGGAGGCAACAAGATGCTCTCCGTGCTGCCCGGGTCTCCCATCTCATGATGGCTTTCCTAAAACAACTAGGGGCTGGCTGCCTGGCCGAGACTGACGGACCCCTCTGTTCCTGAAGTAGGCAGAGAGAGGCCAAGAGCAAGCTGCCTCTAAACTGTAGTGGTAGATGCAACAGCCCATGTGAAGCGCGAGAGAAGGAAGAAAGTTTCTGCAGCTTCTTCCCCTTGTTTGTTTCTCCCCTACTTGGCCCTCAACACCCAGCATGCATGCACATCACAGCTTCCATCACCAATCACCATGGATGGATCCACCCAATAGCTTCCACCACATGGATGCATGTGAGAGTGGAGGCTGCTTGCTCTGCACATGTACAAGCGGCTTCTTCGCCTCTTCGCCGCAGCCCCCCTGCGATCTGTGCCTGCCACTGTCATTTGTCAACTAAACTGAAGAACAAACATGCATGTTGCAACTTGATTTTTTATTTTTTTATTTTACCAGGCAACCAGGGAAAAGATTAGAGGAATGTAGTAGCCATGTAGCACAGGAAATTTACAGAGATAAATAAGGACTAGTCTGGACACAGGCATCCATCCATTTAGCAGCCTCCAGGGAGGTTAAAAAGAAAAGAAACTAGTTGTTCACCCCACACTACCATGCCATTGTTGGCCATCCCCATGCATGCTGCTCTCATGAATAGAAGGTTCTCCTCACCCACACCAAGTGCAGTGCAGTGCCGGGACAAAAGAGCACAAAGTACATCCCCAGCCTGCCCACGCTGCCCATCATCCATCCCCCACCTTCCTTGCATGCTCCGGTCCTGTCCATTCCTCCATGGATCCATCCACAACAGGCAGCCCAACAAATTCTGAAGATCCGATCCCCACCAAAAGGATCACAAATGCGCATCCGGGTTAGGAAGCTTCAACACTGCCAGATCGAATTCAGTCGAAAACTTGAAACTGGCAGATCTTCAAGCTTGAATTGCCTCCTCTTCATGTGCAGGATTATTGTTTCTCTTTCTCCCATCTACTGCCAGACACACTTGTTCTTGAGCTCTTTGTTGTTGTGACTGACGGACGAGCTTTCACGCTGCAATTGACACGGGAACCAAGGCCATCGTAAAACAAAAACACAAGTACACACCAACAGAACTGAACTGAACTGAGATGAGCCCATGATCTTTTTTCTTTAGGCGAAAGCTCGTGATTTTGGCAAACTGTGAACTATAGTTTATATAACGAATAAACTGAACAGATCTCTGGGAATCCTCCCTCTTACAGACTTCCTATTTTTTTCCCCATTCATCAACCCTATAAATAAACAGCCTTTTTCCAATTCTACAGTTTCTACTCCACACAACCCCACTAAAAAAGCAGAGGAAAAAATATAATAAAACACACTATTTGTACGAGAGCTCTGTAGTCTGTACCATGCCTTGGCCTTGCAATCAAACCATGAAAAGAAGGGAGGGGAAAGGAAGGAGAAGCCAAGGTGTGGTGTGCAAGAACCAAAGAACTGGAAGAGTCCATGTGCAACAACACCAGGCTCCACTCTTTTGGCACCATGGTCCTCCAAGGATGAGTGCAGCACAAGCGGCCGGCTTTCGACGGTGGAGAGGAGAGGTCGGAGCTGTCGACGCCGCCGCGGCGGTCACCCAGATCCGTGAGCCGCCGCGGCGACCACCGTACCGCACAGGAGTGAGTGGATGCCGGTGAGGGTCACCTGAGCCGCGGCGACCACCGTACGCCAGGTAGCTTAGAACCCAATTGGCGGCCACCTGAGCCTCGGCGGCGCGGATCGGGCCCGCGCCCGGCCGTCAGCCCGCCCGGATCCGCTTCTTGGGCGGCAGGGCCCGGAACACGGAGGTGAGGTCGCGCGCGACGGGGAAGAAGGCGCGGCGCGACGACGGCGCCGCGGACGACGGGAACTTGCGCTTCACGAGCGTAGACGACGGCGGCGGAGGCGCCCACGCCGGCTTCCTCGGCGCCGGCGGGCACTCGGCCAGCGGCTGTAGCCTGCTCCCCTCCGACGTCGGCGTCGTGGGCTCCTGCTCCGGGGCCTCCGAGCCGGCGTCCTCCCCTGCTGCTGCTGCTGCTGCTTCTCCGCCGCAGGCAAGGCCACGGACTCCGCGTCCGGCGCCGGCGCCGTCGACGACGAGGCCGCCGACGAACATGCCGGCTCCGGCGCCGCAGCTGGCGCCGTGGTCGTCCTGATCGGCGGCAGCTCCGGGAGGACGTCGGCAGCCGTGGAGCTCATCTGGCCGTCGGTAGGCGCGCGGGAGATCACGAGCGGCGCCGCGGTGGGTGCGAGGGAGTGGGAGGAGGTGAAACGAGGGAGGGGCGGGGCGGACAACGCAAAGGATGCAAGGCGGTAGCGCCAAGCCGCCGAGGCTGTTAAATACTTGTCGTCTAGAGTGAGAGAAAGAGAGGCTAGAGGAGGAGGCAGATAAACACCGCTTTGATCGACTTTTCTGTGGGCCCGGCTTTACTACAACCATCGACTTTGCTCATGTTAAAGGCTCAGGGCAAAATAAAAAAGATATACAACTGGTATAATACAAATCCTGAACTTAAGACACGCAAAGGAAAAGGAGCATAGACTTAATAATTGGACTTTTTTTCATGAAAAAGTGACTATTAGAGTTTGAAGCTGTTGGTTCTAGTTAGAGGGGAAAGAAATTCTATGCCACGGTGTCGTAATCATGATCGCCTTAGATTCGTGCCTCACCGATCTCAAAGTGGGCGAAGATGTGAGCCGGCCTTCTTCTAATTTCTTCCAATCCATTTCGATGACAAATCAAAAGCATTCCATTGCCATGACAAATCAAAAGCGCCTTCCCTTCCATGTGACGTTTCGTCGGTTATATTAGTCATTCTTAAAGGCTTTATTATAGTACGTAATTACGTATAGTTAAGAAGTCGAATGAAAATTTTCTAAAACCTAGCACCAAAGCTAGCTGAGTTTTAATTTTGTATCAGGATTGAAATTATGTGTTTATTGTACAGCGAAGAAATATACAATTTTGTAGTACACATTTACAAAGTTCTCCACCTAAGATAAAGCAGCATGCTAGAGATTAAGAAAAATGCTTACTTTACTCGATTTTTTCTTTAAGAAAAATCTTACTTCTTAAAGGCTTTGTTATAGTACGTAATTACATATAGTGAACAAGTCTAATGATAAAATTCTAAAAAAAATGCTACCCAAGCTAGTTAAGTTTTTATAGTAGGATTGAAACTATGTGTTTATAGTACAGTAAAAATTACACATTTTAAGTAAATTTTAAAAATTATCCTCATAAGGTAAAGGCGCATTAAGAAGATTTCTTACTTTACTACATATTTTCTTTAAAGAAAAACATAATCTTGCTGCCTTGTGCCCTTTGTTTTTTTAAAATAAAATATATTCAACAAAACCTATGTATATGTGAATAAAATGTAACAATAAGGGTTTGAATCTGTTGTTTCTTGTTAGAGGGGTAAAAATCTTATGCCACGATGCAACAGACATCAGGACCTCTAGTTCGTGCCTCATCATCAATGTCAAAGTGAGGAAAGATGTGAGCCGGCCTTCTTCGAATTCCTTCTTTCCACGTCAAATCAAAAGTGCCTTCCTTCTGCATGAGGCTTGATCGGTTATAATAGACATCTTATAGGTTTTATTATAGTATGTAACTACGTATAGTTGAGAACTCTAATGATGAAATTCTAAAGAAGAGTATCTAAGGTACCTAATTTTTTTATAGCATGATTGGAATTATGCGTTTATTGTATATTGAAAAATAATCCAATTTGTAGTGCACATTTTAAAAGTTGTTCTCGTAAGGTAAAAGCAGCATGGTAGACATCAAGAAAATTCCTTGCTGCACTCAATGCTGCCTTCAAAGAGAAAAACAAACGTCATATATCGTTGCATTGTGCCCCTCGCTTTGTTTTTAGGATATTCAACAAAATCTACATATGTGAATAAAATGTGGCAATAAGAGTTTGAAGTTGTTGTTTCTTGTTAGAGAAAAAAAATAATCATAGACACGGTGCTAGTTGCGCATCTGGTTCGTGTCCCATCGATCTCAAAGTGCGGGAATGATGTGAGTCGACTTTCTTTCAATTCCTTCATTCCACGTCAAATCAAAAGTGCCTCCCCTTGCGCGTGAGGCGGCTTAGTCGATTACGATAGACATCTTGGAGGTTTTATTATAGTATGTAATTACGTATAGTTGAGAACTGTAATGATGAAATTTTAGAGAAAAAAAAGTTTTGATGTTAGCTGAAGTTTTTTTTATAGCAGGATTGAAATCGTGCGCTTATTTGTAGTGAAAAATTATACAGTTTGTGTAGTGCTAGGCATGCACAGAGAAGAAAAAGTTGTAAATGTGTACTACAATGTTCGGTATTGTTTAAAAGTTGTAAATGTGCATTAAGAAGGAAAAAAAACCTTACTTTACACAATGTTATATATTGTTTAAAAGAAGGAAAACAAAACAAAACCTTGCTGCCTTGTCACGTATTTTGTGCGCTTGGCTTTGTTCTTCTTTTTTTTTTTTGGTTGTAACGAAAAGGACACTCAACAAAATCTACTTGCGGGAATAAAATCGTTGCATCCTTCTCTCATGCTTGCTTGCCCGCAACGCCTCACGTGTGTGGGGTGGCGCGCATGACATGCATGAGCATTGCCGTGCCGGATGGATATATACGTACTCTCATCAGCAGATCGAGCCTGTGTGTGAGAGAGAAAGAAAGAGACCCGGCACGCAATGATGTCGTGAGGAATAACGGAGAGGAAAGGGTGAGCTAGGGGTGTTCATGTTCATGTTCATTCATTCGTAAAGAAAAGACAAGAACAAATACTCGGGCGGTTTGAAGTTGGTTCGCGCAATCAGCTTCGCGATAATGGCCTCGTTTAGTTCCGCCGAATTGGCACCGGCGGGAACACTGTAGCGGTACTGTAGCTACAGTGTTGTTTTGTTTTTATTTGGTAACAATTGTCCAGTTTTTGACTAATTAGGCTCAAAATGTTCGTCTCGCAAAGTACAACCAAACTGTGCAATTAGTTTTTGATTTCGTCAACATTTAGTAGTCCATGCATGTACCGTAAATTTGATGTGACAGGGAATCTTCTTTTTGCACAGCGTCGAATTCTGGAATTCGGAGGCAACTAAACGCGGCCAATGATGGATTCAATGCCGTAGCTAACTGGACCTGTCCGTCCCAATCGGCACACCTATTTTTGTTTGAATTTTCGTGGGATACAGGGAGTCGTACAGCGGATGGATCGGTTGGGGACGACGACGACGACGACGACGATCAGTAAGCGTGGGAGTAGACTTTGCGTAGACGGAAACGCCTCTCTCCCTGTCACTGACGACGCCAACCCACCACCACCATCCACTCCACTCACTGCGACCATGCTCCATGCATGGGCATGGCGTTTCAAAATTCTATCGGATCGGATGCTACATTGCTTGCGACGAAATGCATGGTGGGTGCCTCTTCAATGTCGCTCTGAAGAAAAGAGAGAACGACGACGAGGGGAGACGGGCTGGGAGAGCAGCAGCCACGCAGTTCCTCCAACTGTGATGGGATTGCGATGGCTGCCACTGGCTTGGATGAGAAGATGACTGATCCCTCTGGACTCTGGTGTGGTGTCTTGGACTCTGATATATATACGTTGCATTTCATTGTGGTCATAGTATATAAAATATGGGCCTTATTTCACAGCACAACTCGTTATATCTTCGTGCTTCCCTCAGAAAAAAAGAAGAATAAATGGTCGTCACATATGTTGCGTTGCATCGGTTTCTATAGATTTATTTAGGCTAGTTTGCCAGCAAAGCAAAAGATGCATGGTTCGTATTACATACGGTGCTCGATCAACCTGGGCTTATTATTTCGCAGCCATCATGCTGGTTCCTTTGAATTGGGATCGGAGCGCCTGTTATATATCCACTATTTAGTTGTCTTTGTTTACCCCCGATATATCATTACACTTTAGGCTTTGTTTAGATGTAGTCAGATCCATATCAATACACATGTATTGAGGTGGATTGGGGTAGAACATGGTTCAAGTTCCACCCAAATTTACCCCAAAACATATAGATTGAGGTGAATCCAACAACATCTAAACAAGCCCTTACACGGGTTTATTTTGAAACGCGACCGCTACGGGTTGATCATCATCGTACGTACGGGAGCTGGATCGGTGCTTGATGCAAATTAAAGTCTCTCTATTAATAATAATTCTAGATGTATGCATGTCGCGTGCAACGCAATGATGATGCATGGGCTTTGATTTTGGCCTGTTCCTCCGATCCATCCTAAAGCTCTCTCACATGTAACATGCATGTTGATGATGATCACCTGTTCGCTTTGAGCATTTTAAGCTTATATAAGTCGTCTTTTTTAGGTAACTAACGATATTTTCTCTCACACCAAATCAATTAATAATCTTTTCGGTAGGCATTATCACCAAATGCTCAATTCAAAGCGAGCAGATGCGGATGATGGTGGCTAATATAATAGGACATCTTCACTTGAAGAACGAACATGCATAATAGATTAGCATCAAATTCTTAGTTTGTAGTAGTGCAGTACTAGTTGTTTATATTTTTCTAATGGCAAGATGCTGAGTAATTAAATTGATATGCATGGATTATAATTTTTTATTCTTATATAAAGAAAATAAAGACAGTTGTGCCGAGGACAAAGAGGAGCGCGCGGTGGGGGGCAGGACGACATTGGCCACATCACTGTCATGAGGACCCACCTACATGCGTGCATGTGGGCCATGCACATATATACAAGGACGTCTTTATCACACATGGTTGATGATGGTCGCCGGATGCTCCTCTCATTTTTCAGTACTTGTCTTCCCATGCAAGGTGAGAGCGACTTAGGATCCAATGCTCGTGCCGCGGAAGCTACCAGCATGTATACGTATACTTTAACGATTAATTATTATATTAAATTAAATGGATTAGTTGGATGGATCAGAAATTCAGAATCGAAGGTTAGTCATCATACATACGTGGACGACGCACCCTCAATTATTTTGTCATAAAATGAATAAAGGTCTACTAAACCTCAGGCATGGCCGCATGGGCCATGGGACATGTACGTACGTATTCTTTACGTCTATACATACAGTGTGGTCAGAGCCTCAGAGGTAACAGCAGAA